AAAAGAAAAAAAGCACTTAAGTCAGAAGACAGACACACCATTTTCTAAGTCAGGTTCTTGTGTTCTGCCAGAAGGAAAAGAAGGAAGAAATGCTAAGGCTGCAGTAAATCTTGCAGAGGGACCTGACTATTCTGTAACTCTGAGACTCTAAGCAAAGTAATGGTAACTTACCACTTCGTGAATGGATCTATTAAAGCCATCGTCTTCTGTAAGGATCAATAATATTATAAGGGCCATATACACATGGTGTGAATTTCTTTCTTCGACATGATACAGAATCTCAAGAATTGGTAAAACCTATCAAATAGAAATTTTAATTTACTACTTCAATTACTTTATTATAAGATCAATGTTTTCAATCTTTATGCTTTTATTATGCACTCTGTTTTAATTTCATAGTTATAGGTTTCTTTAAAGGAAAAAGAGAACCACACAAACCAGCATATGCCTGAAGGTATTTTCCCCATGTATAGCTCAGATACCAGTAGAGAAAACAATCACCCTGTATGAAGGTCTGCCACCACGTAAAGAATGGGTCTGCAGAGACCATTTAGGCCAACATGTGACACTGAGCAGAGCAGGTCTGCCTCCAGCCTAGCAGGAATTTATACACAAGAAGGTATTCTTACAAACAGTAATGTGTCAAACATTACCTTAAGAGGAAAGATTGTAGAATAAAATTATTAACAAAATCAAAATCAGATCAGCACAGTAAATTTCCTACCAATAACACATTTTCTAATCGTAGTCTCAATATTATAGAATAAAGGCAAAAAGACAGATAAGGACATCAGTTGAGACATTATCAAAATAATCTATATGAGAAAATAAAAACAAAAATAAGCATATAACCCTCCACCCCACTCCAAAAAAACCCCAAAACAAAACCTTTTAAATTTTTACTGGTGTATGTCATCACATACAGATGATTGTTCCCTGCATATTCTTATGTACCAAAATCCTTAACCATGGAACTTTCTAGAACAGGTGGTGTCATAGGCTTTCTGCTTACGGCCATCATTTCCCCTAGGATACATAATGCTCAGAATTGTTTCTGCTTATTCTTACTCACCCTTCAGTAAATAAGCCATATCCAAGTTTTTACTCACATGAGCAGTACACTGTTACATCCAATTTTACTATTTAAAATAACCAATGTTTTCCACATATAGCTGTGTGCAGACAGGTTTGTGCATCATGTTTTTTATCCTTAGGGTCACTTTGACATAGAACGTATTCTTCAAATGAATTCTAACATTCCATGTTAACTCAATATTTTACCTTTAACACTGACAAAATGGCCACCAAATGCTGGTGAATCCTGCTGTCAACCTGTAAAAACTGGTACAGAGGGAACGTTCCTATTGCCACTAGCAAGCTGCTGCCTATTTCAGGGATGTTCACAATTCTATTAATGTATAAATAACCCACAGGTATCTCTATAGTGTGTATTTCAATTATAATATTAACACCTTGGTGAGGTAAGGTTACTTTTCCACTCATAGAAACATTTTTGTTTACACATTAGTCATAAATGGAAATCCGTGATTTCCTACGGGAGTTTTTCACTCACATAATAAAGGATACTGCGCATGTAAGTTGCTGTCTGGCACAGGTAGCCTAAAATAACTCTAACACTCCCAGAATTGAGTTCAGGCAGATGTCAAGCCTAAGCCTGCTGAAGGGACGGGACACGTGGGAAACTGCGCTTAGCCATGTTCGTCAGGAACTTGCCTCGACTGGGACTATAGGCTACAGGAACTCGATGGGTGGACACTTAGCATCTGAAAAGAACCACGAGGGTATAAATATCTTGTGAATGGCGGGCGGTGCTTCTTGAAGGACTCCATCAGGCTGGATCCTGGGCAGGGAAAGACCCGCAGGACAGGGAAGCTGGTCGTGCTGCTGTGCTCTCTGCTCTGCGGCAACATCAACACGTGCGCGGTCTCCCACACTGCAAACCTCACACCCCTGTCTGTGCCTCGTGGCAGCTCCCCGTCAATCTCTCAAGCATTACCTTTGCAACCAGCCAAACATAGTTACCCCTCCTGAGAAAAGAAACGGCTCTTCAAAAGATTAAACCATACAAAAAGCATGAACTGTGTAGTGTGATACTTACAAGATTTTCCGTATCTGTGCGAGCCAACATGTATGTTCTAACATTACTATTCTGATGGAGCAACGTGTACAAGAGGAGAGTTGCCTGGTCAGATGTCTGCTGTTCACACAGAGCTGTGTACAAACTGTTGAAGTTAATCTGGAAAGCGTGTGGAATTGATGAGGGGAAAGGACTGCTATCTGGAACACACAAACCACAAAATTTTTAAAATATTATGTCAGTATTTTCTGGACCGGGCCTTCTGTAAATAATAAGAACACTGTTAATGTGTACAATTCAATTCCCATTAACTTTGTATGTCACTACATTTCCGGTTCAAAATTTCAATTTATATTTTAAATTTTACTTAAAGAACTAAACTAATGTAAAGCATGGTGACTAGAGTTGATCACACTACTATGTAACTGAAATTTGCCGAGACAGTAGAACTGAAATGTTCTTGCCAAAAAAAAAAAAAACAAACCTGGGACAGTTTATTTCTCTGTACTATCTAAACCAAGGCTTTCCAATGATTATAAATCTATGTGCAAATACCACTTGAGAGTAACTTTTTATCTTTAAAAAGCCAAATATTAAAAAAGCAACTAAACTAAGTCACATACTTCAACTTTATTATGATTTTTGCATTTATATAGCTGAATTAAGCTGGTTTTAAGAACACAGGAGCTTGTATAAACAGAACTACGGGCCCAGGCCAAAAGCGCTCTAACAGATATAAACATGACATCTTACATGTTCTGTTACCAAAACTAAATGACCACCAATCCTAAATAAAAAATATTGAGACAAAGAATACAAAAGTTTCTACATAAAACAGAAAATCCTCTTGTAAGGGTTAAAAAGAAAAAAGGACTTCAAGCTGAGTTAATTTTTCTCAAATGAATAACTATGGCTCATTCACCAATGTCACTAATCCATTTACGAAGAAAATAGCTAGGATAACATCATAGCAGTTAGCTAGTTTTATTTTTTTAATTCTTATTTTTATTATTTATTTAGTTAGTAAGTAAACTCTACCCTCAACGTGGGGCTCGAACCCACGACCCTGAGAGATCAAGAGTTGCACACTCCACTGACTGAGCCAGCCAGGCGCCCGTAGCTAGTTTTAAAGTATTATCAGCATCAGTATGTTCAGCATTAGCTTCCACAGTAGGATACATCAAATCTCAAACAACTACTGGAAAATGTATATAATTTCTTGGTAAACCTTTTTAAAAACAGAGTCACTAGCATGATGAAAACCATAAATCATAGCCCATGTGGGAACATTCCTGATACTGCAAAACTAACAGTGCCCTTTCCTACCAATTAACTGAACTTCCTTAGACACTGAAGCCAGCAAAGTTAGCAAGCCAAAAAGGAGGGAAAAACAGGTCAATAGAGTTGGAGAAAAGTATAATCTTATCAGATAAAACACCAGAACATGACAGCACAATGAGTTGATATTTTAGTAACTTTAATATCTTAAAAAGAACCAAGATTAAAAAAAAAAAAACAGAACCACTAGCAAAAAATAAATAAAAAATTTAAAAGCACTGCTTTAGCATGTCCAAAAGCTTTACTCATGAAAAAGAAATGTGTGTCAACACAATCTGATTGCACAGTCCCATAACCTCTCAGATTCTTCTAAACTGTACATTTGTGAGAATTACCTTAAAAAGTCTTCAATTTTACTACAAAGTGCCCTCACTTTTCCTCCTACATTTAAAATATAGGTTAAATTGGGGCGCCTGGGTGGCTCAGTCGTTGGGTATCTGCCTTCGGCTCAGGTCATGATCCCAGCGTCCTGGGATCGAGCCCTACATCGGGCTCCCTGCTCAGCAGGGAGCCTACTTCTCCCTCTCCCACTCCCCCCTGCTTGTTTTCCCTCTCTCGCTGTCTCTCTCTCTGTCAAATAAATAAATAAAATCTTTAAAAAAAAAACAACACCAAAATAATAAAATACAGGTTATTTTTTCAATCCTAACACTGTATTTTTGACAGTTCTAAAAATAATTGTTTTATGTGACTAACTTATTTTTGCAAAGGATGGTGAAAGGGAGCATTGCATGTAATCTGTGAGTGCGAAAAGGACTACAGCATCTACAGAACACTCAGTGGAAGAAGATTTTGGAAGCGAAGTAACGTGCTCACCCAGCTGTATTATACATGGCTGCAAATGGAATATGTATGTTGTGTGTATCCATAACATTTAAATATTACTAGCTAAGAAGTCCTATGAACTAGTTATTATACTGACAGCTTTACATGCACTAGCCCTTATTTTAATGCATACAATGATCATGTCATCATTTTGATCAGTTTCACAAAGGATGAAATAAAGGCTTGGGGAGATTAAGTTTGCCAAGATCAGCCCCAAGTGAAACAAAGATCAGCCTCTGTTGACATCACTACATTATACTGCTTCTTAAAATTATAGCAATAATATAGTGACTCTGTACTATGATAAAAACCCACTTAATTTTTTTTTTTT